TGTATCTTTTTCATTTTCACTTGGAAAAACAATAACATCAGTGGACAGTTTCAAATTGAATTTACTTAAACTGAGTGAAAAGTGCATAAAATTACAAAATTTTTGGAATTATTTATTGCCTTGATACATGGTCTCGAAGATAATAAAACGTGTCAGACTTTTATAATCTCTGTAAGTTCAGGAACCAAGTAAAAACCTTGATTTACCTGTATGGACTTTTAATTTTGATTTGAATTTGCATACAGGGTGTCACAATATATGTCACACATCTAAAGACAGATAGATAAATGACAAGTAAAGCTACATATACATTTTATATATCATTTTAATCAGCATATATTCAAAATTATTTTTTTGAGTCAGAAGTATCCAAAATTCTCTACTTCAGTTGCTATGGCAACAAATCCTCAAATGTTATTCTCCAAGTGTTTTCCAAACATTTTCCTAAATAACTTAAGAGACTAATGCTTATAAATTTCTGTTCACTGTTTTGTAAGTTTCCTAAGATTCCCAAGATTTTTGAGACTTTTCTTGTTTTATATCTGACTTTTTAGAACCCCCAAAGTGCAAATCTATTTTCATTTAAAGTTGCATTTAAATAAATCTGTCGTTTCAGAACTACCGGTATGTGTTAATTCGTGTCCACTTCTTTCACTCTTCCTTTCAGTCAATCTTGCAAACTTTAACCCCGGCTCTGAATGTCATTTGACTTTAAACGTTGAAAACGTGTATGCAGACACACCTAACAAATATTTTAAGATTTCGAAATACTCTTGATACACTTACTGGAATTGTTACAAACCATTTCCTTAAACTCAGATCTGACTTCCATAAGTTTTCTCAATGAATGACTTCCCTATGATATTGTTCTCATCTCTTCTTGATTTTGGGGGTCGGGTAGGGTGCGGTGAAGAGGAGGCAGGGTTTAACTCTCCTTCATCTTTACATTTTAATTTAATTTAAACCCTCTACTTATTATAAATATAAGAAAAATAGACAGCAATTGCTGTTCTAGTTATTTTTTATATCATCACCCCAGTTAAATATTTAAAATATCGTAAACGGTTCTTAAAATAAAAGTTTACAACAAATTTTTGCTGCAAGTTTTGCGCAATTTTGGGGATAACTGAAATTATGACATCACTGATTATATCATCGGTTACTTCATGGTTTATTATTATTTTCCCGATACTTTGCAATATAATAATTTTAGATCAATATGCTTAACTATCGTGTTTTGGTATTTTTGGTATTATGCTCGATATTCAGATTATGCCCATTTAGATGTGTGACATATATTGTGAAACACCCTGTATATGATCAGTTGATATTTTACTTCATAAAACAGTTTTACAGGATAGTAATTTACCAGAGAGGTTTGCTTTCTTCTAATTAATATATCATTAAATGATGCCAGGAGAATAATGTTTTTGTCATGAATATATTTTCAAATCACTGGTTGTTTGTTATTTAAATACATGTAACATGATTGTTTAAATAGACCAATGAAAACCTTGCATTAATTTGTTGGATAAATAAAATTAGTCATTTGGAAGCAACTTGGAATTCATTTGGAAATTTCTAGAAATTTCTAGAAGAAATAATATGAGTTTTAGTCATTCAGAAACAACATGGAAATCATTTGGAACCATTTGGAAAGTTGTTCCAATACTCCGAATGGTGATTCGGAAATTCAAAATGAAGAATTGCAAGTGATTTACTTGGAAATTCTAAATGCAGCTTGGAACTTCTATACACGGGCATTCTGTTATTATATACTGCATGAAATGCATGAAATTGATTGATTGATTCCTCTGGAGAACTTTTCGCTCATATGTAGACGTACGCCACCGCTTTCCGGTGGAGAACTTCAAACTTTGCCTACACTGGGCATCTAGGTTCATTGAGCAGTGAGGGATCTTTTTTTGTGTCAGCACCTACTGCGACACGGGGCTTCGGTTTATACGGTCTCAAACCCGCGGCTAAAGGATCATTTTCACTCAAAGATGATTGATTGATACTGTTTAATGTCCCTCTTCAGAATATTTCACTGATATGGAGACGTCACCATTGCCGGAGAAGGGCTGCAAATTAAGGCCAATGCTCGGCACTTACGGCCTTTGAGCAGGGGGGATCTTTATCGTGCCACACCTGCTGTGACACGGGGCCTCGGTTTATACGGTCTCATCCAAAGGACCGCCCCGTTTATTCGCCTTTCACGACAAGCAAGGGGGTACTGAGGACCTATTCTAACACGGATCCCCACGGGGCTTCACTCAAAGAAAACCATTGTCAACTAAGGCGCAGCCAAGGTTGCGAAAGATTTCGAAGGGTGAAAATTCCAAAGTAGCATTTAACTACATGCTTAATGCATTATAATATTCTTTATATTCTATTAAAAAAAATTACAACTAGGGGTACTGTGAGCAATGAGCTCACTTAATAATAGCCCCGCCTCCCATATGAATATAATGGCAGTATCCATCCTTTGCTGTGGAAAATCCAAAATATATGTCAGATGAAAAAGTAAAATAGGAGGTGCACAATGGCAATATGTAATAAAGATTCTGTGAAAGTTTCATTAAATTTTCTTCAGTGGTATGAGAGGAGTTGCAGATAAGAGATGGGTACCTCAAACCGTAACAGACGGACCTACAGACGGACAGACAGACATATCATTTTTTTTTATCTATACCCTCCCACTTTTCAAGCGGGGGAATAATGAACCTTGCGTGCATGAATTCTGCACAATCAATATTTTTTTATTATATCACCGTCATCAAGCAGTGTTGATTGAGCTTGAGGGCGTGGTTTCGTTAGTCAGCGGATAATATTGGCTGTGTCTCGGGAAATAGTCCTGGTCAAGGGGAACTAGAATCTTGCTAACTCACCAATAATATATTTTTTGACTATGTTATTATACCGATATAAAAGTAATTGAAAAAATAAAGGATTACGAATGACCGGGGATTAGCTTCCGGAGTAACACACGAGGATTAGTCCTTTGACATATTAGAACCGAAACAATAGTAAAATCTAGAGATTACATATAACCGGGGAATTAACTTCCGAAGCAGAGATTAGATCATTTGACTATCTCACGGGGAGTAGTCCATTCGCAGAGATTTCGAGGGAATTATTCACATTTTACTGCGTAACTGGATCAAGTGGAGTTAACGGATATGTAGTTCCTTATTACGGCGGATATTCTTTCATAGAGTTGTGATTTGGTTATATTTTACTGCTAGAAATTAAAACAGGTCGACAGGTCGGCAGGTAAACATTTGCTAATATACAGGTCGGCAGGTCCGTCACAAGTCGGCAGGTAGACAGGTCGGCAGGTAGAGAAGTCGACAGGTCGGCAAGTAAACATTTGCTAATATACAGGTCGGCAGGTCCGTCACATGTCGGCAGATAGACAGGTCGGCAGGTAGAGATGTCGGCAGGTCGACAGCTAAGCAGTTTCTGGTTAGTCCTCGCACATTATTCGACAGATTAGGGTTAGTCTAGCATCCATCTGAGAGATTAGGGTTACTCCTCGCGCATTATATTCCTGATTTGGGTTAGTCTTGCATCCATCCGAGGGATTATGGTTAATCCTCGCACATTTTTCTACTGATTAGGGTTAGTCTCGCATCCATCCGAGAGATTATGGTCAGTCCTCTCACATTATTCGACTGATTAGGGTTAGTCTCGCATCCATCTGAGAGATTAAGGTTAGTCCTCGCACATAATTATACCGATTAGGGTTAGTCTCGCATCCATCCGAGAGAGTAGGGTTAGTCCTGGTACATTATTCTACTGATTAGGGTTAGTCTCGCATCCATCCGAGAGATTAGGGTTAATCCTCGCACATTATTCTACTCTCCATTTGGTCCCTGATGGCCGACCTGTCTACCAGTCGATCCGCATACCTGCCGACCTGTCTACCAGCCGACCCGTCTACCTGACGACCTATCTACCTGCCAAACCGTCTACCTGCCGACCTGTCTACCTGCCTAACCGTCTACCTGCTGATCCCGACCCATCTACCTGCCGACCTGTCGACCCGTCTGCCTGCCGACCTATCTACCTGCCAACCCGTCTACCTGCCGACCTGTCTACCTGCCGAACCGCCTACCTGCTGATCCCGACCCATCTACCTGCCGACCCGCCGACCTGTCTACCTGCCGACCCGTCTACCTGACGACCTGTCTACCTGCCCACCTAGCCGTCTACCTGCTGATTCCGACCCATACACCTGCCGACCCGCCGACCTGTCTACCTGCCGACCCGTCTACCTGACGACCTGTCTACCTGCCGACCCGTCTACCTGTCTGCCTGCCGTCAACCAGCTGTATACCTCTCTACCTTTTTTGTACACATATACTTTCCGACTGAAATATGCGTATGAATATACAAATAAAAATTATTGCGCCGAACTACTTTGTCCGTACTCTCCACTTGAACCGCGTAACTTTTATGGAGGAAAAAATCAGTAGACGTATAAAATAAAAGGAGATAACTAACTATTTATGAAATAATTAATTCGTTTTCAAATGATACAAACTCAAACAATTCTTCCGTTCATTGGATTCAAGCAAAATATAACTCATAAAAAGTATGCATAAATAAAGGGTTTTGTATGAAAAAAATCTTTTAACAGCCTTGTCAAAAAGAACATTAAAAATACATCTACCGCTAAAGCCATTAGAGGTGTTAATACATCTTATCTGGGGAGATTTGCGTTTCTTTTAAAAGCTAAACATTTTGGTTGATGATTTGAAATATATACTTCCTAAATGTACATAAGTTGAAAAACACTCATTTACCATTCAAAAATCTATTTGTCGTTTATTTATGCAATCACTGTCTAGTTTTGAGAGTGTGCCAGGGCATCAACAATAGTGGGAAACATGGGATAATTTGCATTTAATAAATGTAAATAAAAATTTTTCAGCAATAATTATCATTGTAACTTTTGAAACAAATTCTATAAATCTTATATTAAATTCAAGTACCTAACTGCTGTTGATAATGAATTTTCAATTGTATTCTTTTCCACCGAAGAATCAATAGAAGGAATTCCTGTTGCATATATTTCCCCTTCAGCTTCCCTTTGATACGTGTAGCAATCAGGAAACTCTGAAAAAAGTGAATAAACTTATCATCCTTGTTGTCCTTGTTTAAAAAGTATCGGATAGAATGCACTTTACCGGTACGGCCGCCATTTTGATTCTAGATCCCCGCGTGAGAGTGCGCGGCGTAAAAACTTAGCAACGTATCAACTATGATGGGCGACGCCATTTTGTTGTGTAAGAAACTCTCGAAGCGAGAAAAAAAGATATCTAAATGGGTTTTCGCTTTTTTAAGCGGGGGTGTGGGGGCGGCAGCCCCCAATACGTAAAAATAAATAAAACAAACTTACCTTAGTCGTTAGATAAATCTGCGTTAAGACTCGGGGCCACACCTACGTGTCACTATACATGTAGAACCATTGTGTCTTTTTTTTGATGAGTTGTAAATACGTTTTTATGGGTGATGAAGGAGATAAACGTCAATTTTAAATTATAGCTACTATCCTAGTGCATTCTTGTTTTAGTAGAGATTTCCTATATAACTGCATTCCATGTGGTCTCAATGATTGTAAAGTATCCAGTGTTTTGCAAATTGAAATAGATAAATTTTAGTTCGTAAATCCAGGATTTACTGCAGCTCTGTTTCCAGAAATCTAAGATGTGACTCTTACGTTTCATTTTTCTTATACTGCCGATTGCTGTTTCTCGAAACAAGACCGTCCTCACTGCATGTTTACAAGTTTTGCCCCTCCACTTATTCAACATTTCCATAAACTAAGGATCACATTTATCGCTAAAATTTCCAAAAATTCTAGTATGTTGCAGTCAGTCAATTAAAAATATCCATTCATAGAAAACACAACACAAATCATCTTAAATAAGGTGCATGATGAATCACTGTTTACAATCAAATAGAGTGGAAGTCAAACTTTCTATTTCACGTCACCTACCCTGACCAATCACAGCACTGAAATAAGTCACGTGCTTAACAACGTCACGACTTTGGAATGTGGCCGACAAAATGAAAGCCAAAGGTTTGTTTTGAAAGTGCTTTAAGTTTTAATTAATAACTTCGTTAATTAAACGAAGTTTATTAACATGAAAAATGACGAGGAATTCAAAAAATAGGTTATTTTTGCATTTTATTGCCTTTTTAGCGAAATCGTCACGCTGACGCGTGACTCTCTTATAGAGAAGGAACACGTGCTATTTCCATGTTATTTGGACGTACCGGTAAAGTGCAGTTGTCCCAAAGTATCAAAGGGTGAGCATTTCTTAGTCCTTAACCAATTATTTGATCAAGAAAAAAAAAGTTTGCATCAGAGGTGGTTTAAGACTTGAAATTATTTGACAAGCACAATAAAAAACTAGTGCTAATTGTAACGGGGACCGTTACAGATGTTCCCCAAACGCTCCCCAACTCCCTTTTGGTGTCACATTCCCTGTAAGCTCCATTAAATAAGACAAACTCTATGCATCTGAGATTTTAACATTTACAAAGAAGTATACAAAAATCATTTAAACTTTAGCATTACACGCGTGCACATGTGAATGCATTTGCGTCATGACCATATCATCTTGTCTACACAATCTATATTTTTAATACAAAGAATATTAATGTATTTAATCCAAAATTATTTTAAAAATACGCTCATTCAAGTGTTTGTTTGATTTTACTAATTTCACATGCACGCACGTGCATACATGAGCATGCTGACCATACATTCTTGTAGAAGTCCATTACATCTATCTAAATTCTAAATTCCACCCCGTTTGGGTGAAAACTAAGGGAGTAATAGCTGTTTAAAGTTTCAGCCAATCAGATTGCAGCACATGTACACGCACGAGTATGCATGTGCATGGTGACCATACCTCCTTGTAGAAGTCCATTATATCTATCTATATTCCAAATCCCATCCTGTTTGGTTGAAAACCAAGGGAGTTATAGCTGTTTAAAGTTTCAGCCAATCAGATTGCAGCGCACGTGCATGCACGTGTTTTCATGATAATTGCTTTATTTCATGTTGTAGGATATCTTAATGCATGGCTATGTTCAAAATTTCAAAGGATTTCGTCAAAAAACAAGAAAGATATTGAGACTTTAATTGCAGCCAATCAGAGCGAAGTGCACGTGCATGCGCGTGAGATCTTGCTATTTTCACCATTTCGTAATGTCTATATACTACTAATATATCCTCACATTATCGGTTTCAAAGCAATTCATCTAAAAAAAGAAAAGTTGTGGCTATATCTATTATATTGGTCATTCCACGTGTTGCACGTGCACGCTCTTGCAAGCACGTGCGGGCAAAATGACCTTGATTCCGCAAATCTACATAACATGTCTACTAACCCTAAAAAGGTTTTACCTACATCGGACGAACAGTTTACAAGATCATTCCCGGACAAAAAAGTTCCAGGAAGAAGAAGAAGAAGAAGAACTAGAAAGTCTGCTATTGCAAGCAATAGCATATGTCGCCCCGTATTAGATAAGACTTTCATTTTTTCATCACTAAAACAAAAGTCCATTAGCTAAGTTTGAACAACCATTGAGTTGTATCAGTCCTTTCCATTGGAAACGGAAGACCTTAATTCGGTACATCCCACTCATTATTTTTAGAATCGGTAGGAGAAGAAAGTAGTGCAGGAAAATTACAAGTTCCTCAATTTGCAGACTTGCATAAAAGAAATCTGGCAATTGTACTGAACTGAGCCTCATACTTGTTAATTGGCAGTATCTTTCCTATCATAAAAGCTTGGGAAATGTAATTTATGAAGAAGATCAGCCGAATTATTTTGTGTATTGTAACGCCAGTGAGAACACTGAAATTTCCCTCTTTCACTTTCATTTTAGAGGTTCTACCGAAAAACGAATCCATTGGCGGATCCAGAGGGGGGGTTCCGGGGGTTGGAACCCCCCCTTTATTTTTTGTCAAGTGGAGAAAGAGAGAGAAAGAAGGGGGATAAAACGTTTCCCGAGAAAAAGTATTTGTACGTCTAACTTATATATGTATTGAATAGATAGATTGTCACAACTTTAGTTTTTCCACTCACCTTCACTATTACTTTTTATGAGTGAATGGTAGAAAATATTCTACTTATTTTTATATATCTTATATATGATATGGAACATGCGAGTTTAAATTTGATATTAGATTCCCGCAATCTTAATATGACTGTGTTGCCTATATACAAGAAGGTGCCATTTTTATAACCAAATCTTATGAAGGAACTAAAATTTAATTCATTGTTTTATACCCAACCCAAAAAGGATCTTCAAATTCTTTAAGAAAATTCATTCTATTCTTCGGAAATTCTGCATATCCATTCAATTATAAGGCTTCAGAAGTTTTTTTAAATGTGTTGATTTTATTTTATACAGACTGGGGGTACTTTTTCAAAGAAAAAAGGACGTACAACAAAGATATAATTTTCCACAATCTTATATTTTTCCGTACATGTGTGAGTGTGAATCTTTGCCTGAGAGTGTGTAAAGGGGGGGGGGTTAAAGTGACACAACCCTGGAACCCCCCCTTTCAAAAATTGCTGGATCCGCCCCTGGAATCTGACATGCCACCATCAATTCGAGCATTTCTGCATTGCAGAGAGCTGATGTGTGTTATGAGATGATAAATCATGTGTAAACTTTCTCAGTTTAGCGGAATCATGAACATTTTCGGCGAGATGAATGTTTTGTATACAGTGGTGATCAAGGCTTTGCGAACCATCAGGAGCGGATCAAAGGATTTTTGAATGAATAAAAACTATGGAAATGACGTACCAATTTTTTAATTTATACTTGCACTATCTAATGAAATGAATAATATATAAGTGATAGATATACAAGAAAACGCGAAATGATAATAAATGCAGCTGACAATCGTTATTTTTTTTTATATAGATAAAATAAAATATTTATAAATTCAAGAGACAAAACAGAAGGAGAATGAATGATGGCAAAATATCACATGACGGGAACTGAATTTTATGAATGAAAATTTTAAAAAGTTACTTGTAAATTGTATATGTTATATCTGTGTATTCTACTTGGCTGTGTGCTTCAAAAAAAAAAAAAAAGGGGGGGGGGGGGTCGTCTTGAACATAGTAAATAGCCATAACGTTTGAACGGTAAGTACTAGGGCTTTCGTATTTCAAATATGTAATCCTTGTGAAAAGAACTTTTATTGGATACGACGAACTTTGACCCTTTGACCTAGACCTTGGAGAACACATGTGTACATCTGAATCTTTGTTTCTGTTTCGTTTCTATGGCAACCGTGAGCGACTCATTACAATTATTTTGAAAGTAGAAATCACTTTGACACATTGCAAGGAATAAACATTGACAGTTTCAAAACAATTGTCTGAGTAGTTATTGAGGAAATCGAAATAAAAGAATTTGAACTTTCACCTGGTTTCCATGGCAATAATCGATTATATGAAAATTTTAAATACGAGTTGCAGAACTACAGATACTAATCATTAAAATAAGAAAAGTTTTATGACGAACGTTTAAGGGACCAGAGAGAACACTCTCGGACAAAATTTGTCGCTTCTTACAGGTTTCCATGGCAACGGTAGACATATTGGAACTGAACGACCTCACTGCACAACTACAACCAGTGATCGTCCTTTGAGGAAAGTTTCAGGAAGAATGTCCCAGCCATCTCCGAGAAACAGCCTGGATAAAAAAAACATGCGTACAATATCAATATGTCGTCCCCGACTTCGTTCGGGGCGACATAAAAATAATAATAACTAGTGCTAATTGTAACGGGAACCGTTACAGATGTTCCCCAAACGCTCCCCAACTTCATTTTTGTGCCTCATTTCCTCTAAGCTTCATCAAATAAACTAAACTCTATGCCTCTTAAACTTAAACAACGTTTTTCCTAAAGTATACCAAGTATATAGCAAATTTTTGCACACTTGCATGCATATGCGGAATGACCATATCATTGTATCTACACTATTAATTTATTTTAATGTACTTAATATCAAGGCATTTAATCAAAAAGTATTCGAAAATACGCTAAATCAAGTGCGTTTGTAATTATACGTATTGCA